TACTAGACATAGCCATTTTCAATGCGTAGAAGGCCTATGTCCGCTTGGGTCCCCAATCCCAGGGTGTGACCTTCTTGAGGAGTTCTGTCAGCGGCACTGCAATGAGGGAGTAACTTTTCAAAAATCGCCAATAGAAGTTGCATAGGCCAAGAAACGACCTCAAGGCGTGGATATCCTTAGGCGGCGGCCAATCCGTGATGGCCTGAATCTTGTGTTGGTCCATCTTGATTCGTCCTTCCCCGATGACATGTCTGAGGAAGTCAATTTGTTTCTAAGCAAAGGAGCAATTGGATAGCTTCGCATATAATTCGTGCTCCCGCAATCGAGCTAGGACCTTTCGCAAGTGCTCCAGGTGTTCTTCCATGGTCTGGCTATATACCACAATGTCATCCAAGTAGACCACGACGAATTTGTCAATGTATTCTCGGAAGACTTGGTTCATCATGGTGCAAAATGTGGCTGGCGCGTTAGTCAAGCCAAATGGCATAACCAGGAAGTCGTACGACCCATATCTTGTCACGTAGGTCGTCTTCTGTTCATCACCCTCTGCAATCCGGACTTGCCAATAACCTGTCCCCAGGTCTATTTTTGTGAACACCGTCGCACTACCCAGTCTATCAAACAAGTCTGCCATTAGCGGAATAGGGTACTTGTTCTTCACGGTGATTTTGTTTAGAGCCCGATAATCCACGCAGAGTCGTAGACTACCATCATGTTTCTTTTGGAATAGCACAGGGAACCCGTATGGGGACTTGAAGGGTATGATGGTCCTTGTGTCTAGCATTTCCGTCAATTGTCTCTGAAGCTTGGTGAGTTCGGGTTGTGACATTCTGTACGGCGCCCGAGCAGGTGGCTTCGCACCCGGCACCAACTCAATCTCATGGTCCACAGTTCGCCTAGGCGGGAGACGCTTTGGCATTTCTTGTGGCATGATGTCTTCAAATTCTAGTAGTAGCTCCTTCACGGGTGCAGAAATGGGACCCGAGGAGCGTTCAATATCTTCAATGCAGAGGGTAGCCATGAAGGTAGGTTCATGTCTTCTGACTCCCTTCTTCAGCTGCAAGGCCGAGATGTTCTCAACGGCCATCTTCATGGGCATGCACGGGATAATGCAGGGCTTGGCCCCATTTGCTCCCATCATCATTAGCATGTCTGCATAAGGTACGGGCATGGTGTTGGTTTGCCTCAGGAATTCCAACCCCACTATCAACTCGAAGTCATCTATGATCACCACACGCAGGTTAAATTTTCCTTCATAAGGGCCAAGCTTCACTGGTACTTCTTTGGCTATTCCACCAACTGGCTGAGGAGGTGAGTTGATAGCCTTGACACGACCTTTGCCCTTTCCTACAACTAGGCCAAGGCGCTCCACCTGAGTCGAGGCTAAGTAATTGTTGGTAGCACCCGTGTCTATCATGGCCCGAATGGGCTTGCCATTTACCTTCATATCGACGAACATTAAGGTCCTCTCTTGATTTGGAGGAGTCCTCTCATTCGCCTTCTTTTTCCCTTTCTTGGAGATTGGGTAGGGGTCTTTCTTCTTACGGATACCAGCACTGGTTCCCGCTAAGGACTCAGAAATAGAGCCAACAATTGCATTGAATGCACCTACTGGTTCAGTCTGGTCCGCATCATCTGCGTCGTCATCCGTCTCATCATCAAAAGCTTGATGGGCATTCATCTGTACATGTGGGCATTCATTGTTCCAATGTGGTCCGCCGTAATGACGACATCCTAAGGGGGATTTCCTTCCCCGATCGTTATTGTTAGATGCAGTGCTAGTACTGCCTTAGGAGGGAGCCTTAGATTTGGTTGCACTCCGGTCTCCTCCACTAATGCTAGGGCCACCAGTGTTCGGCTGGCTCACTTTGTATCCTCCTCAGACAAGTTGTTGAGGCCTGTTCTTCCGGGCTTCTACTTGATAATCCCCAAGGCACTCCGCTGCTTGGATCGCCTTAGGTAACGTGTCTACCCTTTGTCTCTGCAACTCCATGCGGGCATAAGGTTTCAACCCTTCTAGAAAGGTGAAGAGTTTGTCTTTGTCCCCCATGTTGTGTATATTAAGCATGAGCATTGAGAATTCTCGCACGTAGTCCCGCACTGATTTGGTCTGGCGGAGCTCCCGTAGATTTCTCCTTTCATTGTACTTAATTTTTTCGGGGAAGAACTGTAGGCGTATGGCTGCCTTCAGCTCTGCCCACGTCTCGAGGGCATCTTCATCGGCCTTTATGGCTTCGTATTTCACCCGCCATCAGAGTTTGGCATCTCTCTGAAGATACATGGCAGCAGTTGCTACCTTCTTAGCTTCTTCTAGGCCTCCCACTGCATCGAAGTATTGTTCTATGTCGAAAATGAAGTTTTTCACTTCTTTGGCATTCCAAGCTCCACTGTATGGCTTTGGCTCAGGAATCTTCAATTTTTGTGCCATAGGGGCGAGGTTCACACCACCCCCAAATTGGTTTCTGCCTCCTCGAAGTAGGCCTTGTAAAGCAGCATTTACAATATTGAGCTGGCATGTCAAGTTGTCTATAGTTTGTTGCATGGCAGTCACCCTGTCTGCCTTTTGTTCCCTGTTGGCTAAATCCTCGGCATGCTCCTGCTGGAGGACTTCGAATTTACCAAAAATTCCAGCTGCCTCTGTGGATGCTGTTTGTCAGTCTCCTTCAGAGTCGCGACTGATGTTTTCTATGTCAACTTCGGCCTGGACCAGTGTGCGGTCCAGGTCGTCAAACCTTTGCACTAGGCTGGTCTTTAGGTCAGGCATCATTTCCACGATGGGCCATAATGCGTCAACTGTCCCCTCAAGGGTCGCGATACGATCCCCATAATTCACCATGGTCAGAAATGGTGGTAATTGTAATGTAATCCCTCGTCCGATGTTGAGCCTAGGCTCTGATACCAACTGTTACGCGGCGGCTTCCTGAGATTCTTTGGAAGGGCGACGTAAGGCTAAGCAATCGATGTCAGTGCGATTACTGTCCGCCAACTGAGGTCCCATCCATATGCTAGACTAGATTGTTAGTGCCGTACGGAAAAACCAATGTCATGAGCAATTGAGAGAGAGCAGAAAAGAGAATTGAGAATGAAAGAAAGCTTGATTGCATTGAATGAAATCTATTACAGAAAAATAATATGGTGGCAGGGGGGAGAGACACCAGTACAGAGAATTATTTGCTTGTTAGAAAGTTTGATTGTTTGGTCCCCCTTAATAATGTTTAAAAAAAATAAACCAAAGTTAGATGACTTGACCTAAATAAGTTGTAAAAGCACACTTAAAGAAAATGCAGTAAAACTACTCTATATTTACAATGAAAAGGACTTAGTCTTCTACAAAGTAGAAATAAGTCCGTTGGCAGCAACTTTGTCTTTAGCATTAGGGTCTGCGCACACGGCGTCGTCTGCGTGCACGGCGCTGTTGGCATCTGCCTGTGGCTGGGCGCTGGTGATGGCTAGCGGTGGGACGACAGAGGCACATGCGCGCTTGTCACTTGGAGCTGCCGAGACCACGGGGTTGACTGTGGCGCTGGGCATTGGGAGGCTTGCCAGGACGCCACGGGACGCATTCAAGGGGTCATGGGGCATGGCTGGAAAGCCTCCCATGACAGTTAATGTGTTGTCTCTATCGGCTGTGCACAAGAATAAACATTTCTATAATATATATATATATATATATTGCTGAAACTTTAAATTAACATCAAGTTTTGGGTAATTTATATTTTCCCTCATTATGGTACTTTCCATGCATTATGGGTACTAATTGAAAAGAAATAAATCGATGTATAACCCAAACAACTACATGCCCTTATAATTTTTTGTAATTGCCTCATCAAGCTCTTCTACTTCTAATGGAAATATAACATTTTTGTGATCTTAAATTTGTCGAAGTAGTTGACTGATATTACTAAGTTGAATTCAGTAAGTTATCTATATAGAATGATTTGTTTCTATTTAGGAATAATACCCCAGTCCCCAGGTACAATAGTCTTGAGTTGAACTTTCATTGTTCTACTTTAAATATGGACTACTAATGGTTTATTCAATTAATCTAAAGGCAAAATGGCCTTGTAGGCACTTAAACTTGTACTGAATTTTTAAGTCAATATATAAAATTTTGATTTTCCTATTTTAGCACCTCAACTCAACCAATTGAGTATAAATAAACTCCTTCGTCCCAGTGTGTAGCTAAATTGCACAGGAAAAACAAGACAATTTATTATTTTACATGTGTCATTTGTGAGTCCCTTTCTTTAAAACTAATTTATCAAAATTTCTTTCTTATTTTACTTCTTCTACGCCTTTTAGCGCCGATGTCCGAGAAAAAAATCCCAGCCATCACCTGACCATATGCCTCAATTAGTCATGAACTTCCATTGTTGAAGAGCTCTAGCTATGGCGATATACAGAGAAGATAGAAAGAGAAGATAGAAGTGAAGGAGAAGAACATTACTCCCTTTTCTGAATATTGAAATGTACAGCCTACTATATTTACAGAGTACTTTTCACTACTTATAGAGATTAACTACTACTACTATATTACTTCACTAAGTAGTTATATCTCACTAACCACTGACTAACTCTACATTTTAAATATATATGGGACCCACATTCCTCAACACTCTCCCTCAAGCTGAGGGATGAAATGCATTCTTCATTCCCAGCTTGCTCAGTAAGTACTCATGTTGTGGTTTGCACAGTGCTTTTGTTAGTAAGTCTGTGATTTGCTCTGTTGTCCCAACATGTTGCGTTTGAATTAGCCCTTGCACTAATTTTTCCCTTACAAAATGACAGTCAATATCTATATGCTTAGTCCTCTCGTGGAAGATAGGATGTGAAGCAATTTGAATAGCTGTTTTGCTATCACAGTACAATGACACATGTAATTTGATATCCACACTCAGCTCTCTGAATAACCCAACTATCCATACAATCTCAGCAATTGTGGTTGCCATACTTTGAAATTCTGCCTCAGTTGAGCTTCTGGACATTGTTCCTTGTTTTTTTTATTTCCAGGAGATTAGTGCACCACCAAACTTTACCACAAATCTAGAAACTGATCTTCTAGACTCCACACATGCTCCCCAATCAGAATCACAATAGGCTACAAGATGATTGCAGCTACCAACAGGCATAAAGAGTCTAAGTCCTGGTGTAGACTTAATGTACCTTACCACTCTCTTTGCAGCCTCCATGTGAGAAACTTTAGGTGCATGCATATATTGACTGAGCAATTGTACTACAAAGACTATGTCTGGCCTTGTCATAGTTAGGTACAGTAAACCTATCAATCTCTGATAAATTCCTTTATCTTCAAGCAATATATCTTCGGGTGCATCATTTCTTACTTCCTGATCAAACTCAATAGAGGTGAGTTTGTGATTGAACTCAAGAGGTGTACAGACTGGTTTTCCACCTGCTAGGCCAAGTTCAGAAACCAGTTCCAATGCATACTTTCTTTGACACATCAAGATACCCTTTTTAGACCTTGAGAATTCAATTCCAAGAAAGTACTTCAATTCTCCCAAGTCATTCATCTTGAATCTTTCTTGTAATTCTTTTCTGACTTGTCTGATAATGTGTAGATTGTTGCCTGTGATCAGCAAGTCATCCACATATACTAGCATTATCACTAGTTATGTTCCTATCTTCTTAGTAAAAAGATAGTAATCATAATGGCTTTGCACAAACTTCATATCTAAGAGTGCTTCTGTCAGTTTGAGATTTCATTATCTAGGTGCTTGGTTCAACCCATACAAGGACTTGTGTAATTTGTACACTTTCTGATACTCCCCCTGGCTTGAAAAGCCATTTGGAATGTGCATGTAATCCTCCTATACCAAATCTCCCTACAATAATGCAGTATGCACATCCATCTGGAAAACATACCAATTGGAAGCAGTAGCTAAGGCAACTACAGCTCTCACAGTAACCATTTTGGCTACTGGTAAGAATGTTTCTGTGTAGTCTAGGCCTTCATGCTGGTTGTAACCTTTGGCTACCAATCTGGCCTTATATCTCTCCACCTCACCATTGGATCTATACTTGACTTTAAAAACCCATTTACACCCAATAGGAACTCTTTCTGGTGGCAGGTCTACTATAGACCATGTGTTGTTTTCTGCCAAAGCTGAGATCTCAGGTTGCATAGCTTCCACCCACTTAGGATCAACACTAGCTTCACTGAAGGAATTAGGTTCAGCATTAGTAGAATAAGCAGCTAAAGAGGCTTGATAAGCAGGAGAGAGTTGATCATAGGACACATACTATGAGACTGGATATGAGCAAGTAGACTTCTGAAGCTGAACCACATAGTCAGTGAGCCACACAGGAGGTTTAGATGGTCTTGAGGATCTCCTAAGTGTTGCATAAGGATTTAAATGACCAGTGGGAATATCTGCAGGCACAAATGCTGAGGGATCATCACTGATAGGTGTAGGAGGATATGACTGAGTGAAAGGAGAAATGTAGCCAAAAGATGGTTGTTGAGCATTCTTATAGATGGGTGATGAGTCTGTGAACTCAAGAATAGGAAATAGATAAGGAACACCATACCTTATATTCTTAAAAAGAAAAATATATTCCTTGAACATAGCATCTCTGCTCACAAAGAAACCTTTGGAATGAAGATCATATAGCACATAGCCCTTTTGAGAATAGGAATACCCCATGAAAACTGGTGAGACTGCTCTAGGACTGAACTTGTCTACTTTGTATACTTTAGTGGCATAACATAAGCTCTCAAATACTCTGAGATGTTAAATGGGTGGACCTTTCTGATAAAGTGCCTCAAAGGGAGTCTTTCCCTGAAGGAGAACAATAGGTAGCCTGTTCAGTAGGTAAACTGCAGTGGACACACATTCACCCCAGAAACGCAAAGGTACATAGGCATGAAATCTCAGTACTCTAGCCATATCTAGAATTGATCTGTGTCTTCTCTCAACAGCTTCATTCTGTTGAGGAGTGTACACACAGGAACTTTGATGAAGAATTCCAAGATTTTGCAATAAGGAAGTCACTTGATCATTCATAAATTTAGTGTCATTATCTGTTCTAAGACATTTAACAGAAGTTCTGAACTGATTTTTAACTATTGCTAGGAAGTTTTTCAATGCCACAATAGTATCAGCTTTAGTGGTTAGAAGAAAGATCCAAATATACTTTGAGTAATCATCAACTAAGGTCAAGAAATATCTTTTGTTATCATGAGTAGGTATCCTATAAGGACCCCAAACATCTGCATGTACAAGATCAAAGACAGAAGTAGAACATGAAGTACTAGGATGAAAAGGGAGTCTGGACTGTTTTGCAATGGGACATACAATACAATGATCACCAGTCGGGTGCAAATCACTTAAGCTATGTATTTTCTGTACCACCTTTAGAGGAGCATGTCCTAACCTTTTATGCCACAAATCCAACTTATTGCAAGATTGTGTGCTACTCTCACTAGTCTTACTAGCACACTTATTTGTACTACTAATAATGGTATTTACAGTTGGTGGTAAATGTTGCTCAGAAAATTATTTGTCTTCAGTCTTGAGAATGTAGAGACCAAGTCCTTCTTTACCAATCCCCAGGACCTTCCCACTAAAGAGTTCCTGAAAGACACAAAAATCAGGGAAGAATGCCACCATACACCTTAGTTCTTTTGTGATCTTAGAGACTAAGAGTAGATTATACTTGAATTCTGGAATATGCAATATGTTCTGAACCTTCTTATCTCTGAAAAAGGAACAGATTCCGGTGTGTGTAATAATAACCTTCTCACCAGTAGGGAGATATACTTTATTTTTATCTGTTTCTGATAATTCTTTATAAGAATCCAATAGATTTAAACTATGCACCATGTGATTAGAAGCCCCTGTATCTATTATCCACTTATGATTCACCAAGGAAGACATAAAAGCATGTGTGTTATCTGTTATTCTTGTAGTTGTTGAATTAGCTACAGGTTCAACATCTTTGCCTTTGTTCAATATCTGCAATATCTGCCGGTACTGTTCTGGAGTAAAGAATTGAGCTGGAGAACTGAGAGTAGAGCTTCCCAAGGAATTATTTTGAGCTTCTGAAGATTGACTGCCATAGTTGCTTACATTGTTGGACTGAGCAGTGAAATTTCTTCCTCTCTTCTTGTTTTTGAAATCACTTGGATATCCATGTAGTTTGAAGCAATCCTCCTTAGTATGTCCTTTGCACCTGCAGTACTCACAATAAACTGGTGACTTGTTGAATGAGTTTTTAGTTTTATAACCTGCAGTGTATCCAGTGTTTGTAGGACCTTCGTTGTTGTTGTAGTGCCTATTACTCATCATAGTTGCAGCTTCATTGGCATCATTAGAACCATATACACATTTTCCATTGATCCTTTGGCTTTCAACATTGATAATCATAGCATAAGCTTGATTCATATTAGGCAGAGGTCTAGTCATCAGCACCTGATTCTTAGCATTTTCATATGAGTCATTAAGCCCAGTGAGAAACTGATAGAGTTTTTGAAGCTGATAGTGCTCAACATGCTTCTTTGACTCAGGACAACCACAAGTAGGAGGAGGAGTCAACATTTCATACTCATCCCACAGTTCCCTTGGTCGAGAAAAGTAAACAGATACAGGGGATACTCCTTGTGTTAGTGTAGCTATTTCCTTATGTAAGTAAGCTGCCCTAGAAGCATTAACTTTGTCAAATCTCTCCCTAAGATCTTCCCAAACATTATAGGCATCCGATGCATAGATTACACTACTAAGCAGATTAGGAGACACGGTATTCATAATCCATGCAAGCATTATCGCATTACATCTATCCCATAGTTCATGAAGGCTAACATCATAGTTGCTCTTTTTGCAGGTGCCTAGAACAAATCCTAACTTGTTTTTGCCATGCAATACAATTTTCAATGACCTACTCCAGATCGAGGAATTTTCCGATCCTTGCAATTGAACAAAAATAAGGACCGAACCTTGCGTATCAGACGGGTGAATATACAAAGGATGATGATGATCAACCTGATCTACTGATTGAGCTACATACATCGTTGCGAGCTGAGGATCAGTAACATCTTCATGAACCGGCATGGTTGTGAATTGAGAAACTTCGAGAGTTTTGAATCGAAGAACAGAAATGAGACTATAGACACATGCACAGATTGATCTCCTCCAAAATCGATCCAATCTAGCAGATCACGCACAAATTTCAAACCCTAGCCTGAGTAGGTGAAATTCGGATGAAAATCGAATCAACCGGTTGCATAAAGCGAGAAATTGAGGCTGAGATTAAATATTCCGTAACAGCTTAGCCGTCATTACTCGATCAACCGAGCTCTGATACCATGTTGAAGAGCTCTAGCTATGGCGATATACAGAGAAGATAGAAAGAGAAGATAGAAGTGAAGGAAAAGAACATTACTCCTTTTTCTGAATATTGAAATGTACAGCCTACTATATTTAGAGAGTACTTTCCACTACTTATAGAGATTAACTAGTTATATCTCACTAACCACCGACTAACTCTACACTTTAAATATATATATATATATATATGGGACCCACATTCCTCAACATCCATAAAATTCATTCCATCTTTCACTTTTAATAAAATTCATAGCCCAAGTCAAAGAGTCGATGGGGCACTGCTAAAAAGAAAACAATAATAGAAAGAGAATACACAAAGCAACTGCATGTCATATTAAGGTAAGTAGAATTAAATTCAATTAAGCTATAGTTGATATCCTTAAGCTATAAATGCACAAGATTTTCAAAGATCAACCTTAAGAGGTCATTCCCATCGCCGGACATAATATTGCAAAAAAAAAAATGAAAGGGGGAAGGGAAAAAGCATACAAGTCTTGACAAAAATTTAAAAAAATGAAATATTCAGTCCTATTATGTTGCTGGAGGGGCACATCTGATGCTGATGGCATTATGGTCACACGACTTGGTAAGTCTCCGTGGCCAGCTGTGTTCTTTGAGAATGCTTAGGAGTAGGCCCACCTTTTATAGGCAGAATGTTGACAACCTGAAAATATTACATCAAATCAGGTTACCAGAAAAGGAACCAACTCCAGGCACATGGCACAAGCTATTGGAGATTAACTGTACTGAGCATAGTGAAAAAACTGATAAAGAACAACTACTACACTTGATCTCAACCAAAACAAGCAACACCAATTGCACAGTTACAAAAGATATCAGCTGACACACCATACTATGAAGCTAAGACTAGGTGAAAAGAGACAATAATCATGAGTCTTTTGATTCTTGGATCTTTATAGATATTCAACTATATTTCCTGTAGAGCAATTATACTTCTTTCATATTAATCAAAGTGTTGTTGCATTTGTTTCGGTTTTATGATTGCAGTACCTAGTGTTAGTTTTGTATTTTCGCTTCGATTTCTAATTGGTGTGCTTGTTGTTGCCCTTCTTTTTACCTTTTCTAAGCTGAAGGTCTACCGGAAACAGCCTCTCTGCCTTCTTGAAGGTTAGGGTAAGGTAAGGTCTGCGTACATACTCTCCAGACCCCACTTGTGGTATTACGCTGGGTTTGTTATTGTTGTTCATATTAATCAAAGAACTAGGGACTATATTTAGATTTGACGTTACTTATATCATCGTCCAGCACACACTTGTTGTGTCCAAATTTTCCAAACGGAAGTTCCGTCACACAACTGGATAACTTATATAAATGATAGCAAAAGATCAACATGCATAGAATCACGATACAGAAAACTCCTACATTTTTTAACAGTTACCAGGATTGCAACTTTTTTTTAAAGTTACCTGGATTGCAACTTTTTTTTAAAGTTACCTGGATCGCAAGCCACAGGAAGATTCTTTCACGGAAATGAATAGGTATAATGGCAGATCAGATATAAGGATTGCATGCAAAGAAATCAAAAATAGCTGTGCGTGTATCAAGAGTATCAAATAATCTCCAGACACGAGCTGTCGAATCAGGAAAGTATATACTGGGAAAAAATAAGAGTCTCGCCAACTGAAGGCCAAAATTGATTGAGCAATATAACATGGAGGATTAGGAGCAAACCTTCAGGTCACTGAAAGTTCTTGAGGCAGTAAAGCGTGCAGAAATTGGGAAGAAGACCGACGGATCGGCTGCCGGAACAACAAATTCTAGTGCTCCACTGCAAAGTTTCCAACTTACACATTAGAAAGACAAACAAGCCTTAATGGCTGTGTGCTTCAAAAGGACAAACTTTCATAAAAGCTAACCTGCGGTTCGAATTGTCAATGAGAAGTACAGACCACTCCAAAACAGAATTTCTGGGGTCATACCTGCGATCAGAGGGTGAAAAATGTTAAGTTCTAGATAGAATATTTGGCAATCTGTAGAGCACAATCCAGCAGCTCCATACAACTTCCCAGTAACAAAAAGTCAGTCAATCATCTATGCCTCAGAACAGTAATTAGATATTCGTATCGAGGCCTTGGCCAACTATCTATTAGGTCTATGATGAAGGGCTGAAATAAAAATTCTGCATTGCGATTCCACTGCCTGGCCATTTTCCTCTACACTATCATACCACACAACAATACAGCTTTATCTGCAGCCAGAATAACTAGGTGGCATCCATCCCTCCTTTGAAAAGCCACACGATGTGTGAACTTTCCAAACCACCGATTCTCCAAAAATCCTATCTATATGCAACCAAATGTGTTAAAACACATGAAACAACTGCCTTGCTCTGACCATAGTAATACAAACTGAACGTTTTCAAAAGCAATAAACAAATTAGCATCTTAGAAGTATCATGATCTCAGCCCTGAAAGCCTCTATCATAAGATCTATGTGAGATTCAGTTTGAAATCCAGTGAGAATAACTGAACAAATCTCTGATATAAAGGGGTGAGCTTTAAAATCTAGCAACAACAACCCAGTATAATCCCACTAGTGGGATCTAGGGAGGGTAGTGTGTACGCAGACCTTACCCCTACCCTGGGATAGAGAGGCTGTTTCCGAAATACCCTCGGCTCCCTCCCTCCAAGAACTCCCCACCTTACTCTTGGGGTGACTCGAACTCACAACCTCTTGGTTGGAAGTGGAGGATGCTCACCACTAGGGCAACCCACTCTTGTCAACAAGCTTTAAAATCTAGCGAAAGAGCAAAAGTTAAATTCAAAAGATCACCTCCACTCTCCGTCTATCTGTTGTACATTTGGAGCCTCCCTGAGAGCTGGAAGGGGTACAGAAATTACAACATTTTGTAGATCAATCTGTGCAGGGGTTTCATACTCAATATTCACATAGGTTTCGCTTCCAGAAACTGAAGGCCAGCAGTTAACTGGGACAAAATATTTGAAATCAATGATAACGTATAATATTAATAAAATACAGAAAACAGCATAGAGATTTCGAGCAGGGTCAACTGAAATTCATTAAGCTTACTTGTCAAAGGCAAAATTGACTCATCTGCAGTTTGCATTCTCCACCTCAAAAGACTAACGCCGTCACCACCTTGACCCGTGGGGAATGGCCTATTTGGATCTTTAAGGCCTAGGATATTTTCATTAGAAAACAACTCCTTGTTCATGTTTGGGTGTGTTTTGAAGAGTTTTGCTGGATTACCACTGGTTTCAATCTGAACATAAAGTATAGAATGAACAGTGAACTACACTATCACAAAATTCACAGAAGTAAAAGCAAATATGAATGCCTTCTGGCATCAGATAGACCTCCAAACGCAGAGCTACACAGCCTAGCTTCATCAAAAGGAAAGGGGCCTAGTTGAGTCTTCAGCTATATTATAAAGAGTGCACAATTAAAATGTTTTACTAGTGTTCCTTAGAGGAGAAATCATTTATTGCAAGGAAGTGCTGGAAAAACCATTAGGTTCTTTGTGCCCAATTTCAATTGCTTCCAGTCGCATATCAAATGCAATCAAATGAGTAGAGCTGGAAACAGTGTTTGGCTGCAGAGGACATAAATGATGAACTCCGCTTCACAAGGACATCAACATGCATAGTGCAAGTTTTTCTTGGGTTCTTTTTCACAGATAGAGAATATAAATAAAATTATTGACATGACATTTGAAATACTCCTGACACTGTTAGACTTTGCCAGGGAGCCTCAGCACATGAGAAACTCAGCAAACTTGGAAGAGAGAGAGAGAGAGAGAGAGAGAGANACAAAAATGCCATAAGGTACATCTTCATAATTGGTTTCCAACCAATTTTCTCAAGGTTCACCAAGAAATAAGAAAATTTGATATTTCAAAGGATAAAAAGGAAAAAATGCTTCACAGCCAAGAAAGAGTAACCCCTAATGTATATGCAAAACTTTTCCGGCCTACCAACTGATTCCAAGCCATCAAACTACACACACATACGAGAAAAGTTCTATGAAAATCTATCAAGAAAAAATCAGCCCAACAAGACATTGTCGCAGACACAGAAAGACTGAAATATACAAATCCTACAATTAAAAGGAAAAAAGCGGAAACAAAAGGAGGTTTTGTTTTCCCTTCCTCCTTCAAGAATATTTAAGGTTTTTTAGTAGGAATTCTTGATGATTTTCTCAGTGTGTCACATTTATCAACCTTCTACATTTTGTGAGGAAAATGTTTGGAGGGAAGTTGTGTGTTCTTCTTCGTCCTTCATTTTCATTCTCCTTCATCACCTATAAAGCATTTTTTCCTACTATTTTCTTTTAAGTCATTCCTATATCGAACATTTATCAAAAAGGGCGGCTTTAATTCCTTCCCATCAAAATTGTACTGCTTCCCTACACAATATATGCACTTATAACAACAGCAAAAGGTGTCTACATAATACTGAACATCTATAAGAATAAGAAGTTGCACAAGCAAACATGCAAAACCTGGTGATGCACCCCCTCTACAAATGTTTAGCAACGAGCTAAAGACACATCACAATGACAGGATGAAACAAATACAAACCCTTGGATTTGGTGGAAAATGTGTCTACATCAGGGCTTAGACCAAATCCAGAACCACTACCAAAACCACCACTTCCTCCGCTAGATATGCCTGAGTCGCTGCCAAAGCCAGTATCCATTCTCCCAGAACCCATGGATTGAAGAGACATGAAACCTCCTTTTTCACCTCTATTCTTCTCAATCTGCAAAGATGTGTAGAAAATGATGTAAACAGTACAATCAAATAGACCCAATACATGAAAAAGGGAAGAAATTAAACATTTAGCACAGGTAATGTGTGCCTTCTAGACTACCTTGCTTTTGTCAATCTCACTGGCTTTACGCTTCATGACATCCTTAGTTTCATTTATCTTGTTCTGTAAGACTAACTTGTGCAATCTTTCCTCATGGCTCTCCATTTCACAATACTGCTTGACTTGTGTAACTGTAACATTTTCCTTGTGTCCAAGAGAGATCACTTCATCAAATGCAAAAATAAGCTCAAACGCTGTACTGCCAATTCCTTCCTCATCTAGTGAATAAGAATATTCAGGCACCTAATAACAGTCAAGGAATCGGCCCAAATGTTTCCATTTGCAGAAAAAAATTTAGCAGCATGCACATGAAAGCTTGTTTATTTATAAATATTTAGACTGAATTTTGGAGTTACATTTTGCAGGTTAAAGAAACTAAAAACTAAAAGAGGACAAGCATTTCTTTTGAAAAGAAGCAATATTCTATGCACAGAGATGAATAAAGCTGAGAAGAAAGGATAATCTAACTTCAGTATCAGAAGAAGAGAAAGGATACTAGTTTAGACAGCAGCCTCAGTGTCTCCAGATCTTCAAGAATGTTGCTCTGTTTGTTGGTCACAAGTAGCAAGTACAGAGACTCTATCGGTTGATAAACATATCGCACATTGTCAGTCTCAATATATGTATGCTGCTTTCCTGTACCAACCAATTTGGGGAAAGCTGCAAGATAACCTTCAATTCTTATACGAGACATATCAACAAACTGCCTCGACACAAGAGCTGCAAAGACAATGAGATGATACAGTAGTGATCAGTGGCAAATCCATCCTATTACATAAATAGAAGAATATTGGACATCAAGATGCAAGAAAATGTTGAATAACACATCCTAACTCCTAACACAACCAAACAAAAGAAGCTGCTTCTGCGGTAGAAAATCAATAAATTATAAAACAGACAGCATCATGGGACTGCTGATTCCCTACAAGAGGGTTATCATAGTGGACAGACTTTCCATTCAAATGAAATATATGAAAGAGTCGGAAATTCAACAGAATTCTGACCTAGACCTACGAAATTAGAAGATGGAAACATCACAGTGAAGTGAAAGGTATAATCAGACGGAGGAAATAGAACCCTTCATGGTTCCAACAATTTGTCCATTCCCCAGCTTTATCGTTATGTAATACTGTACCACTGTGGTCGAACATAACAGCTACAAAAGACAAACAGCTAGAGTTATTTCTCCAACTATGTTCTCATTTATTAGAGGTTTAACACTTGTCTCTCCACTTCCCATTACTTTCTAATTCAAGTTTGCATTCCATGATTTATTGTTTTCTTCTGCAGAACTTTCATTTCCTTTTCCTTCCCATCTAGGAAAACATTACTAAATTATATTTATTAGTCACGTACTACTAAAGAAGAATAAAGCAGTTACAGCACAACGCCTCTTCTCTTACCTTGTCTTTCTTCGTCACTCAATACAACAGGAAGCCTGTCACGCTTCTTTCTAGTGATTGTCACATATTAACCTAACTGATTAAGTAGGACAAAACATTACTACTTTCTAAAGCACTCACAAGGCATTAGAATCTTTTTCTCGCACTTTTCTCAGAATAAATGTCTTTACTAGGTAACCACAAAATATTAAGACATCCATACACTAGTAAAATAACAAAAAGAGTCATCAACGCGAAAAGGTAAAAAACCAAAAACTTTTTTCCATGAAATAACTGCAGTTTATAAAGATAAATATATCTTTTGAGGACAAGTGCCAACCATTACAGATAATCAAATACAATATGATACCAAAGTGAACATCTCTGGCATCTTTGCAACAAAACTGGTTAAACATAAGTGAAATATCGCAAGAACTCTTTTCAATCAAGTTACGATTAGACCAGAAAACATTCCAACTCTAACAGAATACCTCACTGCACATCATTCAGCCTAGTCTCTTGCAAGTTCACATTTTACATGTCCAATATCACACACGTCTTAGAGGTTATTTACTCTTTGTGCCTCTAGCTACATAACTAAATGGAACTTTTTCCTCTGCCTTCACTGCAATTTTCACATTTGTCTCAAGAAGTTTACATATTAAATTGACTCAACTGGCAACTTTTTTTCTAATGCATAATTGTTAATTTCAAGCTTTAGACTCCAAAATTGCACAAGTTTGGCGTAAAACCCCATTACCGGAAAAAATGACACCTTTTTATATCTATAAGCTCTTTGATCGTAGCATTCCCATTTTGACACTGAAAACATGTTTTTCTTAAACTCCAAGTCCAGTCAAACACCTCATATAAAATCAAAAGGAGGGAGTAGCAATTATTGTGTACATGCTCTAACTTGAGTAGAATGCCACCATAAAAATCATCAACTAACATCACACTAGTTTCCACAAACCAGAAGATTCCAAGAACATATGTAGAATGCGACATACCTTTGCCAGATTTAGAAATTATCGAAGCTGCTAGAACAACCTGCAGCACATATTAGGACAACGGTGTAGAGTTAATAATCTCTGATTTTTTAAAGAAAATCACAAAACATACCAATCTAAACAGCTATGTTGTTACAAAATTATCAACATTACCATCTTCGCTGCTTAGTAGATTGTGCTGAATCAGATCCTAGGCAATAGATCGTATACCACCTGGATTTCGAACGCAAATTCAAAGCCGTAAGAAACAAAAAATAAATAAACATTTTCAAACAGTTAGTATGAAATGAAAACATCATCCACTTTATAGGTATCAACAATGCGATAAAGTTTAACAACAACAAAGTACAATGTACACTGTATAAATTCACTAAAATTTACACCATAAAACGGTGAAATTCTGCCTATAACCACGCAAATTGCTCGGATCTTCGCATTGATTTGACATAAAACGCAACTACAAATCAGATCGGACTGCAACAAATCCCTAGATCTAACGACCAGAACCGAAAGTAGAACATTGCGGAAAGATCAAAACCGTCGATCGAAGTAGATAGAGGCCCGGGGGTAGTGAGAAGAAGTATTCAGAGAGATCGGCAATTACCTGAGTGAAGAATACTTGCTGACGAAGAGTAATCAGATGTGATAGAGAGAAAAATAGGCGCTTCCGGAGCTTATATATGAAAGGACCCTGGAGTATTTTTTTTTTTCTTTCTTACAGTACACCAGACTACTACTAATTTTCCTTCAGGCTTCCGTCGTTACATTTTTCTTTTCAATTAAGATAGTTTTAAATTGAAGCGAGCTCGATAACTTTTTTTTAATTTCGTAAAAATTGTACTCCTAATTTATTTTTCAGTAGAATTTGATTTTGGTGCTCTAGTTAGTTATAAATATAATTTGTAATTTATACATATAGCTTGTAACCTGAACATATGATATTGGTGTTCTAATTTATATTTTCACATAAAATTTGATTTTTAGATATACATGATTTGTAATGTCAAATTATCTAAAAGACGATTAAAATAATTATTTTCAATAAAAGGTAGACAATAACATGAAAGAAATGTACTGGTGTTTTAGTTAGTTATATTATAATCTCATAATGCTAATGTAATAAACATAAATTAATCATATGTTAAAATCTAAAAATAAAAGATTAAATACCTCAATGGTAATAGATAGTACGGTCGTTAGAGTATTTGCCTCCGCCCACAAACTTTAGATGTGGATGAGTGTTCATGAAAAAACGAAAAGTAGCACTAATTAACTGAATAAAAGGCGAATTTGTCATGTTTTGTGTTAATATGAAATCGTGAATATTCTTTCGGCTTGGGTTTGTTGTTTAGATTGATGTTAAGCTCCCCAGAAAGAAAAAAAAACGAAAACTTATGAAACCATATAAGGAGGTAATTTTTTCTGGACCACACACTTTAAACAACAACAACAACAACCCCGTAAAATTTCACTAATGTGATCTGGAGAGTGTAGTTGTACGCAAACCTTACCTCTACTCCGAAAGAGTAGGGAGGCTATTTCCGAAAGACCCTCGGCTCAAGAAAACAAAAAAGACAAAAGGACAAAAGGAGACAAGGGGAGACAATATTAGTATCAGTATCACCACAACAATCATAGGAAAAATAGGAACACCATGAAATCCAAAAAAAAGATGCAAAGCAAAGGGATACAATATTAGTATCACCACAACAATCATAAGAAAAATAGGAACACCATGAAATCCAGAAGAAAGATGCAAAGCAAAAGCGATAGCTAGTAAATGGGATCTGCACTGAAAAGCGAAATAGTAAGACACAACATTGTCACTAGCTATCTTAGACAAAAATCCTACATGGCTAGTCCCACAATGGTACGAAGTAAGGCACGACTCAACTACCTCCTAACCTACAACCATAATACTCGACCCCCACATCTTCTTATCAAGTGTCATGTCCTCAGAAATCTGGAGCCTCGCAATATCCTGTCTGATCACCTCTCGCCAATACTTTTTAGGTCGTCTTCAACCTCTTCTCGTGCCCTCCACAACCATCTGCTCACACCTCCGTACCGGAGCATCTGGACTTCTCCTCTGAACATGTCCGAACCATCTAAG